GGTCTTCGCGACAGTTATGAGCCCGGGAGGATGGCACACCTGCAACTTCCGGTGACTGCGCGTTGCGAGGTAATGCCCGTAGATAGCCGTGTACCTCCTTCTCTTGGATTTCCCTGGGTAATGGGCGCGGTGCTTGGTGTTCGACTCCGCGTCGTGGGCTGCTAAGGTCAGGAATCCAGCGGAGCCTGATCCCTGAGGGTGTGTCGGAAAAACGCGGTTGTCAGATATATGTCAGTGCAGCGCACCTGTAGGAGCGCGTTCCACTTTGCCTGCGTGGCGCAATGGTCTTCGCGACAATATTCCCCGTTACCATGCCTATCTATGTGCGTCCACCGTCCCGGCCTCGCCTGGTCTCCACGTGCGACCTGCTACCCCAGCTTTGCCAAAGCGACCCGCTATCGCCGTGCTGATAGCGGCGGTCAGTAAAGTGGTCTTGATCTTGAAGATATTGACTGGGCTGTCCGGGCTGTCTTTGGCTGACGGTTGTGAGTGACGATCTTAGCTGTGAAGATAGTCCCTCGAAGGTCTTAGCCGGCACGAAGAGGGCGAATTCTAATTCAGGCACGCCACGGCATGCTCGAATTGTCGTTGAAATTAGCTGGTCTTCGCCGCCATAGCTATTCCCAAGAGCTCTCTGGCATAGCTGCAATTTGTCAAGAAGAGCCTGGAGGATTTCAGAGAGGCTTCTCGGGAGATTCCTTCGAAGCTGTGTGAAATTGATCGAGGTCCAGTCAGTGTGATACTGTTGCCTATTGACTTCCGTATCAAAGTGCTGCTTCATCTTCTGATACATCTCCGCGAACGTTGAATCGCGGCTGACTTGATGCACGAAGAAGTTCTTTGCTCTCTTCGTGAGGATATTTGAGAACAAAGCGTGGAATTGTGACGGTTTGATGCTGGCTGTGAGCAGGCATCGAGAAAGTAACGGATCTTATCATCTAGGATATCGTAGGCGTCACCTGAATAGTTGAGCTTTCGATCCCATAGCTTAGAAAACTGGTTGGCGATGGCAGGATCGAGGTCTTCATTGGGGACCTGGACTGGGGGCACGGTCCGGTAAGCTTCGCGGTCGATAGCTGGTCTGATCATAAGTTCCTGCTGCTGTTGATTCGATCGTGACAGGGGTAGGGATTGGTCATTGGGGGGGTCTTGCGGGAGGTTTAGATCGGGAGTGACTGGTGCTGGGGTTGGTGCTGGGGTTGTTGCTAGCGATGGCGAACGTCTGAGGAGTTCTTGTTGGCGTCGGTAGGCGGCCGTTTTCTCGTATAAGATGGCATCACGAAGATCGTCTTCATCCCACTCAGGAAGTCGGTCACGGTTCTTCAGATTTACTAGGAATGCCGTGATCTTTGCGTTCAGCTTTCCTGTATAGATTCCTCTGAACCTTAGGGTATTCCGTAGGACCTTACGGACCCTTGGATCGACCTTCTTGAAGTCGTCTTCCTCCCAATCCTCAAAGTCTTCTTGGAATGATCCAAGCAGCTCGAGACCTTGACATGTTGAGGACTTTATAATCAACGATGCGGGCGAGAACGTAGGTATTATAGTGGATCTCATCGGAAGTCTCGTTGACTGGGGTGTTGAAGAGGTCCATGTTGAAGATTGTGGCGAGGCCACGGTTGAATTCAGCAATATCGAGGAATTCGTTGATGTCGAGCGCCGGTGCGTTCGCGTTCGCGCTGCTGCCGCTTGCGCTGCTGCTCATGATGTCGGATGGGGCTTGACAGGAAAATCTGCGAGGAATAGGGCAAGAAGGTGTCAAGAGAGGTCAAATTGATCGAGAGTGATCAATGAAGCTAATAATCAAGCGGGATACCAGAGATTTGTATGTGCGATAGGGCACGCCTAAGAGGTCAGCGGCTGAGGCAAACAACTAGGCACGGTTGACTGAATAGAGTGGGCGCCGGTCGGGTCTTCGTAGTCAGTCTCGCGTTGTAGCACTTCTTTCTTCGCAGAGCGCCACAGATCGTGAGGATGCGTTGAGGAAGTCTCTTCTATCTTGCTGCTCTGAGGTTACCAGCCAAGGTAACAACTGATCAGTGTGGATAGGTTAACTGAGGCTCAGTTGGGTCTTTGATCGATGATCGTGTTGTTCTTGTTATTCTTCGCTATCTAGACCATGCTGTGAGGTTTGATAGGTTGTGTGCGTGTCGGGTAAACGTTGTTCCCTGCTGACGCACGTGATACCCTCCTGCGATGTGCGCTCTATCGTACAAATGATCAGACATATTATTTTATTTTGGCGCAGCAGAGACTTGTTAGCATTGAAGCCGGGTGAATGTCGCATATCAAGCCTGTCCAGGACGATTATTCATAAGGTGGCGATTTTACTCGCAACGCCGCTGTTGCCTGCTAGGCAACCGCTACTGCGTAAACGCGACGGGCTTTGCATTTGTGTATAAAGAGCTGCACATTTCGTGCGTTCGTTCATTTAGCTCCTGTTCTTCAGATAATTCTCATCAATTGCCTGATCTGACGGCAGCCCTGAGGTTTGTTGCCTCTTTGCATCGTACACCACTATTCCGGTAATCACCCAGCTATCAATACCACACAGCCTCTCGCATATTAATATACTATTACAGCGTACCCTTTATCCAGTAGTAGTAGACGCATTCGTCGCCCATCGTCATCACGTTCGATCATAAACGTCCTTTCTCATTTATGGCCGTCCTTCATCCCCAGGAATGCTGTCCTCACCATCAGAGTATCCTCTGCGAATCCAAAACTTCCCGCACCTCGCCTCTTGCATACTCTGCCCTTCCTGGACCTGTCGTTGCGGAGTCCAATCTTCTCTTGTTGGGCACCAGCTGCGCAAGTGGCCGTCGCACTAGTTCAAGCAACATAGCACGCTCAAAGTCGATCATCATCACCGTCCGTCTCTTTGTTGACCAGCATGTTGGCGCTTCGCGTCTTTGTGCACCACACCTTCCTCATGTATCGCCCGCAGGATGCAAGCGCCTTGGCCTCAAGGATTCTTCTCGTGCTGGCTGCGACCTTGGCCTCGTCAATTATGTCTCCTCCCATGAAAGAAACGTCATGCGACGTAAACCCGATGGTCGTAGTAGTAGGTCCTCTTCAGCGGCCGAAGGTCTACGGCTCCGAGAAAGACAGGTACGTTAACGCCTGAACCCGCTCTAGGCGCTTGTAGACGGTTGCTTCATGCTCAAGGTCTCGGATGAAGGCCTTCACTGTGCCCTTGCACACAAACGTGTAGCCATACGACAGAAGGGTCACCTTGAAAGCACTCCTCGAGCACCGTGCTTTCTAGCTTCGTGATCCCGGCATCCAGTGTCTGTCGCAGCTGCTCACTCAGAAGTTGCAGCCATGTAGAATGACTGATCGGATGTAGCGCGCCTCGAGGTCTGCCATGACACCCGCGTTGGGACAACAAGGATCGAGGTGCCTCCTGAACCAGTCAAGGAGGCATGCTTGGGTGCAGTACCGCCGTTCCACTTCCTCATCAGTCCCTTGGCGGGGCCGGCGTGCCAGGATTCGTTGACTTCTTCGAGGTACATTTGCATCGCCTCGTCCACGTTGTCCGCGTTGTCCACGTCGTCCTTGCCGCTCAGAGGGGCTCGGCGTATCCGGAGGTCGATATCCCGACTCGTCGTCCGATGATTCCGACTGATCTCGTCTAGTCGCAATTGTGTTGCGCTCGTCGCCTATTCTACCTCGACGGTGTCTCCTCCCCTGCCGCGTAATCGGCGACCGGTCAAAGTCCTCGTATGTTGTAGGTGCCCAGCTGGATGCGATGTTCGATGCCATTCGGTCGCTCTCTGGAATCGATCGCAGTGTCGTTTCGAAATCCTCCGCCCACCTGTTGAGATTCGCCGTCGCCCGATCACGCTCATCCTGCCCGTGTTCCACCCGTCCGCCCGGCCTACCTAGCGCCATCAGGCTGAACGCGAGATACTGCCCCACCGCGGAGCTAGACTGCATATGCTCTGGATGAGCCAACACCTCCGGCCCGGGCTCTGCCAGGTGATAATACAACGTTTCAGGCTCGGCCCAGTCCACCTTGAGGAAGACGGTCGCCTCGCCAGTTGTCAGCAACCCGTACTCGAGACCGCCCTCGATCATGTAGTGATACGTTTGTGAGGGCAGACGCCGTCAGTCTCTCGGCGTGATATTCAAAACGGCCGTCCGGGTCCACAGATGGCGGGATCGTCTTCCGATTGACGACTTCCTTGTAGATATTCATCGGCCGTAATCCGGCGCGGAGATGCGGAGCTGTGAGCTTATGGGGTGCCTTATACTCGGACACATAGATCATCGTCCGCTTCTCCGGGATGGGTCATCACCAGACCGATAAATGCAGATTTGGTCGGGCCGCAGCTGATGAAGATCTCGTCGGTGGTCCGGTGTTTGCGGCGGTGTTGACGGGTTCTCCCGGGCGACTACTTCCTCTGCGACGTCGCTGATGGCGTGAGGATGGTTCTCGAACGATCCCGTTTCCCATGTCGAATGCGTCGCACACCTCGTCAATCTGCCTGAGTTGCTCCATGATGACTCTGACAGGGTCTTCGACACTATTATGCATGAAGTATTCCAGCGTCTTCTCATCTGCTATCGATCGTTGCGCCTCTCCTTCCTAGACCGGCTAGGAAGTTTTGCTCTCGAAGACACGAATGCCGACGGGCAGACATTCGTAGAGTATCGAAAATGCTCCCCTGCTGTTCCATGAACCGTACAAGGCTCAAGACTAGTAGGGCAGCTTGTTTCGAGGGTTGGTGATGGAACCCCTTGACGTAAGCCTGCGGTCTCTTTCCACCGTGAACTGGAAAAGACGTGGTGATGACAAGCAGCGATGTACTCGTCGAATGTGGTCGGTCGCGTCTGTTCCTCTGCTTCTTCGGCGCGTTGCTGCTCCTTCTCGGCGCGTTGCTGCTCCTTCTCGGCGCGTTGCTGCTCCTTCTCGGCGCGTTGCTGCTCCTTCTCGGCACGATCTCGCTTGTTGACGCTCGTTCTGCTTCTTCGGCGCGTTGCTTTTCGCTTGCAATGCGTTCTTCCGCCTCACGAAGTCGCTCTCTAGCTCCTCGATTTTGTTTGTTTCCTGCATGTGGTAGTGATGTTGGTTGGAACTTGCTAAACGTGTGTTTTTGATGTTGACGACAACCTTCGTGGAAACGATGGTTACGAAAGGCTAGAGACAGTTGAGAAGCAACCACATCATGTCACGTGACTCGCCTGAAATTCTTCCTGACTAACGCACCTAGTTGGCTGCCCCACCTAGTTCTCCACCCACACAGTCTCGCGAAGAGGGCAGGCAAAGGGCGACGTTACCCGTTGATCTTGGTGGGGCCACAGCAGCCCAACTAAGTGTCTTCGCCACTTTCCACTATTCTAAGATTGTCCGGGGTTTTGTGCTGTCCCGGATTTTTGGGCCAACTTAACGTTTTTGGTCAGCCGCGCCTGCCTTTGACCAACGGGTATGTGTGTGTATTTTCCGTCCAGCGCCGTCAGGCCGCTCAGGTCCCGGTGGGGCACAGGACGTGCTGAGCTAGGCTATCGAGAAAATCCTGTCACAGTAGGCTTCACCCAGCGCTTCTTGCAAGGCCTCGCAAGGGCGAGCTGTCGGGCTCAATCCCCGGAGACGACTTTCCTACCTCCTCCCTCGTAGGTTTTCGCTAACTTCATCAAGGTAGGGTTGCGCGATGCTTTGACGACGATACACCTCAGCTTTGGCCTGTGGACGTCGCCGAATCGTTTTGCGATTGTGGCTTGTCTCGCACACTTCATCGACCAGGGCACGCCAGCAGTCGCGGCTGCTTGCACTTCGACGTCAATTCGGCATCCATAGCGGAAAGAACCTTGCTGCGTCACTCGTGGGCATCGTCCAGGACTGGGAGATCCGGGGCGAGTCGGCTGTGTTGTTCTGACAACTTAGTCACAAATGATCATTGCCTGCACTACATGTACAAGCAGCTGGACTCATCCATGAGAACCGCTGACATCAAGGCACGCCGGATGCGTTGTTATGAGCACACTCTCAATCTTGTTGCGCGGGCCTTTCTACGACAAAGATGCAGAGTCCTTCGAACTCGAATCCGAGATCAATTGCATGCGAGGCCTTCAGAGCAGGACCTCGGCCACTGGCGCGCGAAAGGCCCATCGGGAAACTTCATAACGTTGTCAAGTTCATCCGATCGTCGCCACAGCGGAGCGAACACTTCAATCGCATTGCGCAGGATGAAGAGTATGAGGAACATCGGCTTTGCGAAGAGTCAACTGCGGAACTGGAGGTCATCCTGAACAACGAGACTCGGTGGAGCTCCATACATGATGATCGAGAGGGCTTTGAGGAATCGGACGGACATTCGGGCATTCATCTTTGCACTTGAAGGCGAACAAGATGAGGCAAAACGCATCCCGGCGGCTGACATATTATCGAATGAGGATTGGCGCGTACTTGGTGAAGTCAATGCGATTCTCAAGCCAATATACCTTCAGACAATGCGGACCCAGGGCTGGGGCAAATCTGACGGCCATGGGCACCTGTGGGAGGTGTTGGTAGGGATGGAATATCTCTCAGAGCACTTTGAGGACTGGAAGGCATTTACGCGGAGATGACAACACTGACGATGAGTCAAGCTACCTTGGTCGACCTCGAGCCGGTTGAAGCAGCGTCCATTCCCACTGACTCGCCAGGAGGCCGGCCAAACCGTGCGCGTCGTCTCCCCGCTCGCTTTGATGATGACGAGGTTTACGTAGCCCAGCGGACCCAAACGTCAAGGTTCACAGAGTTGGCTTTGCCAGAGCAATATCACTTTTAGTCACCTTCCCTCATATTGCGAGGCCCAGGCAATCCTTCCACTCGACAGGCGTTTCTTCTGGCGGCAGCATTTTTCGCACCTTCATCGGCGAGAGCGTTCCACTGGCGTGATCTTCCAGAACTGGATGACCAGGCCATTACGGTGGGCCTTCTCACACTCCCCAAGAGCATCTCCACAAGTCCTTGTTCTGACGTTGCCGCCGCCCCCTTCTTACCTTTCGTCCTCCAATTGTTCTGCACCCAAGCCTTCGCCCACTGTGTCGAGCCCTCCACGACGTACTCAGAGTCGGTGGCGATGATGACTGTACTGAAGCCCTCGCCCGGCCAGTGTCGGAAACGCAGGGCGGCGATGACAGCTCGCAGCTCAGCCCGGTTGCTGCTTTGGATGCCGTCATCACCCCAAGGGCCCTGCTTTTCCAGACGACCTGAGACCACGAGCGGTTGGCCCTCAATATGAAGCCCCTGTACAAATGCCCAACCTGCCTTCGGATTGGATTGGCCGTTGTTAAGGCATGCTCCGTCGGTCATGATGAGAAGCATGGACTTGTCGTTGGGGTAGGTGCACCTGTGACCACGGACCGCGGGTTAGCCAGGCACGAGAAAGTACGTAACGAAGAAGAAAGCTTCATACCTGACGATATTCATGAAACGAACCCTGCCGCGAAACAGCTCCATCGGTCGCAGGGGGCTAGTGGGATGTCGAAACTTGGAGGAACACCAGACCAGTGCCTCATCACGTCAGATCCTAGGAAGGGATGGCGATGGTGGATGGCGGCGCAAAAGAGCCACGTCATGATCCTCATCATCTTCCTCGTTGTCCTCGATGTCTTCACCAAGGACATCGTCCATAAAGCTAGTCGCTGCAACATATACCACAACGCACCAATCCATGAGGTCCACAGACAAGTCGACCGTTTGGCAGCTCAAGGGCCTTCGTCGTCGTCGCTGCTGCTGTAGCCGAGTGGGACTAGGCCCTGGGCGAGGTACCAGCCGCGAGGCATTGCGGATGCCTGTTTTCTGCCGCTCTGTTCGGTATGTTTGTGCTGAGGTATTTCATTTGACCAAGTGGTGGTCGTGAAGGGAAGGTCGAGGGCGGGGCAGATTGCAAGCTGAGGTAAGATACTTACCGGCAGCCAATCAATAATAGTCTGACGAGGAGGCCGCGAGCGCATCGCTTATGTGGAGAACGGTGGACGGTGGCACATTAGTACGGTGGGCGAGAGGACAGTGTTGCAAAACCCATTTTAGGTTTAGGCGCGTCGATGGGCAGACATTCGAGTACTTCGGAGGTCCCGACAGAAGTACCGCGGACTGGCAGCGGGCCTGCGCGACCTCCGCTGCCAGGGCTGGATTCCCCACAGCACCCTCCTGCGAGAACGATTTCCATCACGAGTAACCAGAATCACGTCGGTATATCAACAAAAATTACTTGGAATTCTTTTTTTGTTAGAGCATGCCCGAATATCGACGCCATGAATGACCATAAAGAGCACTGCGTCACAAGTACGGGAAGATGATCCCGCACCTGAGGGCAAACAAGGCCATACCCTGGACCAGCCCAATGTTTCCATCGTCAATGCGACGCATCCTTCCTTGTATTTTTACTTTCTTGGCACGCAAGTGTTAAGAAAGTAGCCTATTCTCACATACTTTCGCTTAACAAGTGCTCTTGACAAAACTCCAATTGAGCCGCGCGCAAGCGCTGGCGGCGGCCATGGCACCAGCCTCAGGTTCGCATGTCGACTCCAATGCCTCGAGACAAGGCATACGATCGCCGCCAAATTCAGCGGCTCACATATCGCATCTCCGCCTCGCTACCGACGGAAGCTCGCCGAAAGACTCGTTTCCCGCGGCCCAGCAGCTGGCCCAGTCAATCTCGTCCACCGAAACGCTTGAAGCTGCCGTCACGGAAGGAGCGCAGCTGGAAGAAGCCCCGAATCTCCTCGACTCAGCCCAGTCCACTGAGCACGCGCCAGTCTCAATCCTCGAAGCGGCCACGAAAATTGCTTGCGACAAAACGGCTGCCCACAGCGCCAAGCTGGCAGTCTTACGGGTCTTTAGCGAATCATTCGAACAAGCAGCAAAGCAGTTCACGTCTGGTACCGAAAACAGCAGATTTTGCAGTTCTTAACATTTTCCGAACGACCATTAACTATCAGAGAAGTCGTTGACGCGATCGCATTAGATACCACGTCGAAACCTCGATTTGACCGCAAAATAGAATGCCAGTTCCAGAGGAGGTGTCAAGATATTGTTCCAGCCTCGTGTCCGTAACGAGAGACAAACAGGGCAGCGAAAGACTGTGACGCAGCTGCAGCTTGCACATTTCTCAGTCAAGGAGTACTTGATGTCTGACAGATTACAGGCGGACATCGCTGAGCACTTCGAACAGACTAATGCAAGAGCTTCCATCGCAGAAGTCTGCCTTGCGTACTTACTGGATATGGATCACTTTCTTCCGATTACAGAACTCAGGCAGTCATACTGGTTGGCCCAATATTCTGCACAATACTGGATGGACCACGCTGTAGTAGCGGGTGTAGCAGCGCAAGAGTTCATTCACTTCTCATAGATTTCCTTGTATGCGATGTTACTCTAAAAAATGCTGTCAGTTGTACAGGCCTGACTATTTGTCACAAAGTGGTCCGTATATTCCGTACCGAATCGCACCAGCTCTATATTACGCCTCACTTGCGGGATTATGCCGTTCAGTTCAGACGCTTCTCAACAAGGGTGCCGACGTCAACGCCCAGGGCGGGCGATACGGCAATGCTCTCCAAGCTGCGTCAACTCAAGGACATGAGAAGGTGGTCCAGACGCTGCTCGACAAAGGTGCTGATGTCAACATCCAGGGCGGAGAGGACGGCAATGCTCTTCAGGCTGCTTCCCTTGAAGGACACGAGAAGGTGGTCCAGATGCTGCTCGAGAAGGGTGCCGACGTCAACTCTCAGAGTGAAAGGCACGGCAATGCTTTTCAGGCTGCCTTATGTGGAGGACACGAGAAGGTTGCTCAGATGCTGCTCGAGAATGGTGCCGACGTCAATGCCCAAGGCGGAGAGTACGGCATGCTCTTCAGGCTGCTTCACTTAAGGACATGAGAAGGTGGCCCAGATGCTGCTTGAGAAGGAGCCGACGTCAACGCTAAGGATGGCAATGCTCTGCGCTGCTTCATATGGGGGCACGAGAAGGTGGTCCAGATGCTGCTCGAGAATGGTGCCAACGTCAACACTCAGAGTGAAAGGTACGGCAATGCTCTGGGCTGCTTCACTTAACGGACACGAGAAGGTGGTCCAGATGCTACTCGAGAAAGGTGCTGACATCGACGCCTGGCTCTTCCCTTGTCTATTCCGAGCTGCAGGCTGCCGCAGCATTTAGGGAAGAACAAATGGAAAAAGCACGTCAACGCCCTACATGTTTGTGAGAACGTCTGGGTTTGCGCTGAAGGGAACTGCACGTTACTCGCAATCGTCTCCTACCAACAAGCCTCAAGCGAGGTGCCATTTCCCTCTGGTGGTCGTGTTTTTATTCGAAAGGACTTATACATTTCGCACATAGACCGGAGTCATAAATATCTTGTCGCATATCAAGCCTGCCTAGGATGATTATTCATGAAGTGGCGATGTTACTCGCAACGCCGCTGTTGCCTGCTAGGCAACCACTACCGGTACTGCGTAATCACGCGACGGACCTTTCATTTGCGTATAAAGAGCTGCACAACTCCGTGCGTTCGTTCGTTCACTTCTTGTTCTTTAGATAATTCTCATCAATTGCCTGATGCCATCTCTGACCCGTGTGGAGCCAAATGTCTGACACAATCTCCTCCTTGCGCAAGCGAGTCACTGGTCCATCTCCAAAGTCTTGTCCCACAATTCGCGAGATGCTTTTCTTTGAGCTTTCTGATTGCGCCAGCCTCCTCTTTGCTTTGATAGCCACGGATAGGTCCTTTGAATTGGCAAGTCTTCTGGCTTCGACTGCATGGTGCTTGGCTTTGGTATATGCTGTGCAGTAGCTCTAGCGGCTGCAATTCTAGCCCTCTAGACGTGATTACTACCTCCTTAAAATACTTCGAACACCCGTTAAGTTGCCAATGCAAGGGGCTTAACGGCTGAATATCAGCCCGAAGGGTGAATATCGTATACCTGCACTCGACTTTCTTAGGGGTACCCACTAGAACCCCCTTCCGCCTTCAGCGGCTAACCAGCCGTTCGAACTACTTCCTGGCAGGCCCAGTCTAACTATAACCTATATCGTACCCCCTTCCCTGTAGCTTGTAGGAAGACGACGTTTAGTCACGGTAGAGTGGTGGATACAGTGGATCGCTCAGCTGTTGACCCTGACGCCGTTGTTGGTCAGCGAGGCGCATCTTCATCCCTGTCTCATAGTTAGCCGTGAATGCAGTACGTAGGAAACGCAGGCGTATAACCTTCCGTCGGCGTGTGGTTATAGAGGCTCTGACGATCGAACGGCGCCTCAAGGAGTAAGCCTTGGAGCGAGGTAACCCGTGAGACGGCAACATAGCTAATACCGGCCTGGAAGTCGCGTGTAGCGAGATCAGTAACTATTTTATCCTTTGTTAGGCTCTGGCATTTGTGAACAGTAATAGCAAACGCCACGATTAGGAAACTGCGTGCGAGCGCAGGTCTCGTTGCCCACGGAAGTCCCGCCTGACTGGCAGGATGGGGTGAGATTTTCCTGCCCTCGTTAGTTGTTAGATACGGCGGTCCGTCGTAGCTATCAAAGTCCACCATAATAACGGCTGGGGTCTTCCAATGGATCGGCGCCTGCGCTCCAGGCGATATCGTATACAGTACCCTGAGCACCGTTAACTAGGCCAGCTGATTGCCACAGATTAGTCGTGAGCATCACCTGGTGCCCTTAGCAACAGGAACTTGTTAGATAGATTGCCAGCATTGTTGCTTGGTGCCTGCCCAGCGCCGTTGCCGTGATTCTTTGCCTCCACTTGTATTGCCGGGGCGTTGAGATGCACCATATGCTCGTGGTTGTATTGGTTGACCCGTGCCTTTGTAGAATACACTCGCAAAGCGGTCCTGAAGCCGTCAAGCTCGCTCCGCGGTAGCCTGGCCTGCCCGATTGCTAAGGAGGTTCCAGGATGGTATAGATAACTTTATCACGCAGTTCCTGCAACGCCTGACGGAACTGGGCCTGATCATCACCAGCCTGGCGCTGTGCCGTGGTCAGGAAGACGGTGCGGTCAAATAGGCGGTAGGCCACCTGCCCTCTCCTTTCCAACGAAGACAGGCCGGTGCTAGTCGAATACAGGGGCTTTTGTCGGACTGGTGGTAACTGGAAGAAATCGCCCACAAGCACAACGCTCACACCACCAAGAACTCGAGGTTACGCTGTGGAAGGCTTGTCGCAAACGGGAATCGATCCGCGCGAGCTGCTCAAGCCCTAGCATGCTCTTTTCATCGATAACGAGGTATTTGATGTGCCGTAGGCGGGACTGAAGGGCGGCTGCGTCGGCCGGGGGAAGGTCGGTGAAAGTACCGCCTACTGGGAGGCGCAGCAACGAATGAATGGTGCTGCCCTGTATCTGGTTACTCGCAACGCCTGTTGGCGCCACGCGGCATATAGGGCTAGGATTCGGTAGGGCGGCTGCCTGAAGATGGGAAGAAAGCACCTTGATAAGGAACGACTTGCCTGTGCCACCACCACCATCAACGTGGAAAGGATTTGAGCAGGATTTTGCGCCTGGAAGTGGCCCATGAATGTGTCGTACACGAGCCGTTGTTGCGTATTCAGCGTATTACGCCAGTGAGGGCCAAGGACCTCCACATCGTTGGCCATGGGGTGGCTAGCGATAAGGTCTTTCCAGTAGCCGTCTCGGAGTTCCGGATAAGTACCCACATGCTGTGTCCAGTCGTAATTGATGTCGATATCGCGGCGGCCAAGTAGGTCAAGATCTTCCTGGGTAAGGGAGTTGTCAGGTAAAGGGCGGCGAGGCGAATCCAGTCTTCGTCATCAAATTCTTCCTCCACAGGCAGAGCCTCGTATTGATCATCTTGAGGCTGTAATCGAGGCCTCTTTTGGCCGACCGTAATGGTCATCACCATGACTGTGATGCTGCCAACAATAGGAGAAGGCCTCAGCGTGAGAACCAAAAAGCTGGCCGTCAACTGTGAGGAGATCATCAACCCGCCGATGTGGGTGGTTTAATGTTAGCTTTACACGACAGTAATCTGACCACTGTTGACCTTCTGGATCAGCCTGATAGCTAGAAAGTAAACCAGCACTCGAGGCCTGCCGTTAATGTTGCCTGGCTGCCATTGCTTCCACTTGGAAGGGTCCCTAGGGCGGAAATTCCAGCATTTCAGGAAGGAGACGTAGCTTAGGTCCGCTAGGGCTTCCGGGCGTTGAGTGTACTTTTCGTAAACGTTGGGGCCTCGTCCACCTCATCGCCGTCAATACGGAGGGCAGGAATGCCTGTCAGGATTACGACAGTCGACGTACAGGCAAGTTCGTGACCCTTCCTGTAACGGCAGGCCGAGGAGCAAGTGGCTGACCTCCTGCTTCGAGTAATCCCGCTCCGCAACCAGCTGATTGAGGAGCTTTGACGTGAAGGAAATCAAGGGGTTGTGGTCCTTGACCCGGGGCATCAGGGCCTTCCCAATCTGGGCAAAAGACTCGCTCTTCTTTTCCGACTTGGAGCAGTATTTGGCCGCGTAATCGATTACCTGCTGTAGACTCGTGCAAGGCGAAACATCTGTATTGGCTAGCCACGCAACGGTAAGCAAGCGGTTGTAGTGGTTAATCTGGCCATCGTTCCGCTCGCCCCTAAAGCTCCAGTGTTTAGAGTGAGGAACCTTGTCAAGGAGGCTAGTAGGCGCTGGCCGTGAGGAAATCAAAGCGGCACTCCACCTGCTTGGTATGCTTATTGAGCTGCATGCAGTAGTTGTTGCAGCGGTGGCGTTGCACGCGGTTGACTACCATCGATAGGAACTGAACGGTAAGGGATGTTCCAGTAGATTACCGATCAGGTTCCCTTCCCCAGGAGCCTGTATTCGCTGTGGCTCTGGGTTCACTGCAGATACGTGGTATCCCCAGATGCGAGCAATTGCTCCGGGACTGATCGTTGTCAGGATCTAAGTCTGGGTGGCCACTTAGCCAATATAGGCCGTGGTGGTGACTGGAACCCCTGCCCTGCCACTCGTAGCGGCCCCAAGAGTCCGTTAGGTTGAACTTCTGCTTCAAGACAATAGCCTAAACAGCGCATAACGCTTATGAAAGTGGTACGCAGCGATGTGGGCGTTGTCTCGCAGTAGTTGCCGGGATAGAGCCATCCGCGCCGCCTCAGGAGCTGTTTGCCACTCGTCAAATCGAGGCATATGGCGGTATAGGGATTCCCAGTGGTAATCGGCTGCACTTGCAGTAGCGAAAGACCAGGCTTGCCTGATTATAGGCATATGCTTCCAACTCCTTCCTTTGTTTATACCAATACGGCCGGGTGCCCCTAATTACTGCGGCTTGGCGCGTGATCGACTGGATCAGGACCTGAGCCTCCGGCTCGTCAGGCTCAGCCATTGCTTCCTCTAGGTCGGCGCGTGTAAGGGGCTGACGGCGGCTGTCGCGTTGCTTGACGAGTAGTCACTTCGCTTTCGGACCTGCGCACGTAACAGCGTGTTGAGGGCGACGAAGGCCACGTCTTATGGCGGGCGAAACGTCCGTCATGCCATCTCATCGCATGGGCAAGGTAGTCCTGGAACGTGATGCTCCGTAAACGAGGCTCCACGAAGTCGGCCTTGCCGTCAGGGTAGAGGGTAGGGAATGCAAGCGTTAGCAGCGGCTGGGAACGGTTGAATTCGTCGATGGGGGTCCTGCGAACTGAAGGCAGCGGCATCTGGTGGTGAGCCTGCGCGTTACACGGTATATGCTCCACATCAGTCATACGCTCAGGGTTAGGGGTACCATCAAGAAATCGGGACTGCAGAGCGTTCAATTCGGTATCGGTAACCTGCAAATTCGGGATCGCTGATGCATCGGCATCGCTAGGATCCTCTTCACAGCCTCCTCGACGGGGCCTTTGGGGACCTCGCCGTCAGGTATGTCAGCCACTTGGCTGGCAATGGAATCAACTATGTTGCCATCAAGAGGAAGCCGGTGCAAGCGATTCTGACTCACGACGATATCGCGATAGCCCCGGTGGTGGCGCTGTAGGTAGTGCAGCCACGCCAACAGGCATGAGCGGCGTACCCGCAAATCGCGAGCAAACTGTTGCCGGAAGCGAGGCCTTATATTGAGCGCCACGTACCTG